TCTTTTCTTTCTTAAACTAGGTGCACATGAAAGGGATTATGATGCTTCTTGATGTAGAAAAAGCTCTGAAGGCAGTACAGTCTCGTCTTGGAACAGCGCTAAATCTTCAAGGATCAATTAAGGATTTTTCTGAAATTGAAAACATGTTGAAGGAAGAGAGATCTCAGTTTGAGGTTAGATACTTTCTGCTACCTTCTAGGATTTTACCTATTTTTATAGTATTTTATTTGATGAACCATGTTGGATTGAGGCATTGCCATAGTGGTATCTAAGAGAGATCTCAGTGTGAGGTTAGTTCCCTTTTGCTGCTGTTCTAGGATTTAATTTGATCAACCATGGCGGATTTATCCTTCATAATTGAGTCTCCAAGTTTCAGTTTCAGAAACTTATTTTTCTTTTTCTTATATATGGATTCTATTTCAGATTGACATACAAAATGTAGTTAAGAATGGGAGTCAGGATGTTGTGGTTTATAAATTTCTAAGCTTGAACAGAATACGACTGGATCTTCTGCTTGAGGCGTGTGTGTGGGATCGCCGTCTTCATTCATTGCTATCTTCTTATCATACAGATAGTGATCCCAAAGGCATTAACCCGAAGCAATCCACAGTGCCAGATATTGAACCTTTTAGCCACAAAGAGCAACAAGTAAAGTGCAGCATTGAAGGAGATACTAATTATGAGGCAGTAGCTAATCTGGGAAGAGGTGACATAACTTTGGACGATTCTCGTGATCTGAATATTGAGTTCACTGAGGATTCTTCTGCAGAGGAAAACAATGGGACAGAAACCATTGAAGAAAGTTGTGAATTTCGGAACCATAATTGTGATCTGAAATTGAACCTGGTATCTGCCGAAGCAAATGGTTCTCTCATTGCAGAAATTCCTATTGATGCTAATCTTAGAGGATTTAGAGAAGAAAGCACATCATCAATTTCATCTGCTTTTGCTGAAGTTACTGAGTTCTCTACTGCAGCAAAAATATCTGCAAATGGATTATCCGTCGAGGATCCTGCAGTGAAATCTAATTGTTCACATTCTGGTGACGAAAATAATCTACAATCGAATCTTCCTTCACTCACTCTTCTGCAGTCAGAAAAACTAAGTCTTTCTAGTGTTGATGGGAGGACTGGCAGAGATTCTATGGATCCTCAATTGGACAATTTTGAGAATGATAAAGGGTGGTGGGCTCCATTCCCTGAAATTCGGCGTGAATACATGAAGGATCTGCAGAGAGGTTACCCGCCAAAATTAGGATCCATCACAACCCATGCGGTAGAAACTACAGCTTACAAACTTGTTACTGATGAGGGTGCAAAGTTGCACATTCCCATTGGAAGTGAGAAGTACGTTTTGTCTGATTATGAAGATGAAGTTTCAAGCATCATCGCTTGTGCTTTAGCAAGGCTGAAGGATTTGCCAATTGTGTGTGAAGATCTTGGAGATGACGGAAGGAAAGATGGAGGAATGGATGGTAATGCATATGAGAGTTCGAAAAGCTTAATGCGATTATTCTCACTGACTTCTCCTCATTTCTCCTCAACTAGTTCTTTAGATTTAGAGGGGATTCAGTCTTCCCAAGTTTCAGAACAAACACGCTCATCTAGTTTNATCAGAACAAACACGCTCGTCTAGTTTAGATGGGTTAGATATGTTAAATTCTGCTGCTGTTCATCCTGAAATCTCCTTTGGTTCGGGAAAATTTCCTGGGAAGCGTAAATACTCAGTTATGTGTCTCTATGCTAGCCATTTTTCTCGTTTGCGAGGTCGATGTTGCCCATCTGAAGTTGATTATATTGCTTCTCTAAGTAGGTGTAGGAAGTGGAATGCGAAAGGTGGGAAAAGTAAATCCTTGTTTGCCAAAACTCTCGATGACCGGTTTATCATCAAAGAAATCTTGAGAGCAGAATTTGACTCGTTCTTGAAGTTTGGTCATAGTTATTTTGAGTACATGGAACAGTGCTACGAGAAGGGCAATCAAACCTGCCTTGCAAAAGTTCTTGGCATTTATCAGGTTTGTTAATCAGCTACAAACTTCATTTTCTGGCTATTAGAACAGTACAAATGCTCCTGTTGGATTTTTGTCTCAGTTTTTATGTTTTGCAGGTCATTGTAAGGCCAACAAAAAGTGGGAAAGAGACAAGACATGATCTCATGGTGATGGAGAACCTTTCATTTGGAAGAAATATTACTAGGCAATATGATCTAAAAGGAGCTCTGCATGCTCGATTTAATTCAGCTGGCGATACTGCAGGAGATGTTCTTTTGGACCAAAATTTTGTGAATGATATGAACATCTCTCCTTTATATGTTGGAACGAGATCAAAGAGGAATTTGCAACGAGCCGTATGGAATGACTGTGGCTTCCTCAATGTAAGTTTTGCATGACATCCTACTAATAAATTACCTGTAGCTCATATTTACCAAATCATAATTGTGCTAAAAGGCATGTGACTTCTGCTTATGATAAACAATGTGTTGTTGCAATTCTATGGTTTAGCTTCTAAACTGGTATCATTTTCTGAATAACAGTCAGTCAATGTGATGGACTATTCTTTACTTGTTGGAGTGGATACTGAGCGCCGCGAACTTGTTTGCGGCATCATTGACTATCTCAGGCAGTACACATGGGACAAACAACTTGAGAATTGGGTCAAATCCTCGCTTGTGGTTCCCAAGAATCAGCTTCCTACTGTCATCTCCCCAAGGGAGTATAAAAAGAGATTTAGAAAGTTTATCGACACACATTTCCTAAGTGTTCCGGAAAATTGGTGCTCCCAAGGACCTTCAAATCTTTCCGTACTTTGTGGCATAGCTGTTAGTAATGAAGATGCTAAGTCTAAAGGTCAAGAGGAGCACAGACATGAGCACCAATCAACTGCTCATGGAAACCAAAACGATACTATTACCTGATTTCTATTGTTTTTTTCTTCATTTCCGTAGCATAGTAGCTACATATTATCCAGCCATTAATTTCTGTACATAGCTGCTAGGATGCTCGTTGTCCTAGCACCTAGGTATATATTATACATATATATCCCCCCCCCCCAAAAAAAAAAGGCATCCCTTGGACCAGTTACAGCTGCACAAGCTTTTATAGTATTTGCTATAAGATGATTATTCATATAAATACTTTGTTTTCTGATCTTTCCTGAGTTGCTTCTCTTTGCTCATTCTCTCTCTCAAATTTCATAGTTCTTTCCAATTTGTGATTATTTAAGCATTGTAATTCTATATCAGATGTATGATTTTACATGATATGAATATTTTGCAATGCTCTAGGATTATTCCTTCAAATATTTTGCTTATTTATCTGTGTTGTGTGCGTCTGTTTGGGCATGTGTTATTTTGGCATGGGCATTAGCGACATATATCAAATAACAAACATAGGAAAGCCAAAACAATGATTATAAAAGTACTTTGTGGTTACTGTAGAAACCTATATATGTGTGTGTGTGTTTACACGCACGTGCATATACATGCACACATAAATAGAAAAGCCTCCAAATTTTAAAGGAAGAAAATAAAAGGAATACCTCTCTAGTGTATGGCTTGGCGGAGATGATGAAATCAAGCATTTCACTTTTTTCATTTTTTATTTGTTCTGGTATCACTGGCTTGACTAATCCAGATGTGCGCCACATAAAGGAGAAGGTTTCCCATTTTCTGCAAGATGCATACCTCTCTTTGTAGGAAATTGATGTTTTCTTCATAGAAAGAAAGCTCCCCTTTTTCTGTGTAATATCGGAAGTTAAGTTAATACATGGACAGGAGAAGATGATGCCCATATATCCCGTTGAAAACAAAGGGACACTAGGTTATTTTTGAGTTGAAATTGGACTAGCCTAGCCTCTCTTCCCTAAAACAAAACGCAAAAAAATACTTGTTATATAAAAGGTGAATTGGATTCTCTTGTTCTTACCTCAATTTCAATAGTAGCAATTTCTACCTTAGGTTTCAAAATGTTTTAGAATTGCAAGCTGTTCAGGTTTACAAAATAATCTTTCAACCCAATAATATAATAATAATAATAATAATAAGAGATTACAAGGCACAATTTCTCTCTTTACTGAGTCAAAAAGTATGGGATCACGTTTCAATTTTCACGGATTTCCTATTATTCAGATTAGTCTCCATTCTTGGCCAAGTACTTTATATATTTGCAAAAACATTCTTTTTTACTTTCTCTCCTTCTTGATGTAACTTTCACCTTTTTTTCTTTTGTTCTCTTTTTACTATGGTAGTAGTAGAGGAGTTTATATCTGTAATTTCACCTCTGTATATAAGATAAACTCTTACATCAATAAAAGTTACTTCATTATATAAAAGAAATCTCCAGTCACGTTTTGCATTTAATTCTCTTCCTTTCTCATGACTTTTTCAAGAGTCTGGACTGTGCTCATAGAAAAGCACACGAGTTTTTCTTTTCCTTTTGGTATTGGTGTGAGATAAATTTAAACGAGAAACATCGTCGGTGAAAATTCATATAGCCATCCATAACTTGTTTGGGATGCAGTTATTTAGGATAACATAAAATATCCCCAAAAAAAAAAAAACTATTGCACAGCAACTTTCCATGTGAATCAATGGATTACAATAGACATTGAAATAATACACATGACTCGAGAGAAATTCTTTGCTTGATTGATTACAAATACTCAACACATTTTATCACAAATACTCAACTTGAAGAAAATGTTTTGGAAAACTTATCATATTTAATGTAAATGTGATTCCCCCTTTTTTGGGCTAAAGACTCGTATGAAAAAAGAACTTACAGGAACTATGTAATCTAGACAAGTTCATGAAGCATGTATGATGTATATAGTACTATTACCTTTTGAAGAAAACAAAAATGATAAAAAAAAAAAAAAAAAAAAAAA